CACGAACAATTTTTTTTGTCAACATACTGATTAATTAAATCCACCAAATAAACGAGCTGCCCACGAAATTACATCCCCACGAACCAATAAAATTTTGCTTGCCCACGAACATTGACCCCCACGAATTTAAATGATTCCACAGTAGCAGATTTTTTTGGTGGGTGTAAAATTTAGCGTATTGCTTGGCTAAAGGTATGCCAGTAATTTTGGCGTAATTTATATTCGCGGACACATGGTTCCAACTCTCTGCAAAATAATACTTAAAAGAACACTGAATATTTTAGTGATTAAGATTTTAGCCGACTACTACCAAAACACCAAGATAAGCTAAAATAAGCACCCTGCTAAAATAATCCGCTATACTGTACTTAGAGGCTTCAAATAGAAGTGATAGGTTGTACAATTTCTCTGAAGAGCGATTCAAGGCCTTTGTTCTTGTTATTAAATTTTAAAACCTGTTTTTTTTCCCCATAAAATAATGATTCTTTAAACACAATATATTTATTATTAAATTTTAAAACCTGTAAACCCTTACTTACACATTTTTTAAAAAGATAACTACTTTCACTTTGGAGTTTTGAATGACAATGAAACCTGAAGAGTGAGTGAACGCTGAATGCAAGGTGAACGTAAAGTGAGCGAACACTGAACTTTTTGTGAATGTGAGCGCATCATGAATTAGCGTACCATTGTCTGCGCCAAAGCCGATAAAATATGAAGCCCGCTTTTTTAAGTACACATTCAGTATATAGGAAAAATCTGTAAAAATCTTTTTCTCAAGAACCATTTGACCAGGAAAGCTGAAAGTTATATGGAAGCTTCCTGGGGTAGTGTAGAATCTAAATTGTTTAAATCATGGCCTCTGGGGTTGGGTTGGGCCATAATAAGGAATTAAAGTTTTACATTGAAATATATAGGAAAAAATCTGTAAACGTTTTCTTCTAAAAAACCATTGGACCAGGAAAGTTGAAATTTATATGGAAGTGTCCTGAAGTAGTGTAGATTTTAAATTGTTCAAATCATTGCCCCCGGGGGTTGGGTGGGGCCACAACAGAGAATCAAAGTTTTACATTGAAATACATAGAAAAAATCTTCTTCTCAAGAACCACTGGACTAGGAAAGCTGAAACTTATTTGGAAGATTTTTGAGGTAGTGTAGATTTTTAGCTCTTCTGAACCAAAGGCTCAATGAGCTAATGCTATGGCCATTTGTGCGGTGTGCGTAAACTTTATAGAATATGGGCCATAACTCAAGAACCCCTTCGCCAATTATTGTCAAATTTGTCACAGGGTATACTTGGCTTAAGGGCTCCCATTTATACTAAAACTAGGGTTGTGACCCTTAAACAAGGGGAGATAATTAGGAAAATAGAAACAAAAGTACTGGTTGCTAAAAAATCTTCTCAAGAACCACTGGGCAGATTATCACCAAATTTACACAAAAGGATGAGGATATGCTGTAGATTTAAAATTGTTCAAGGCATCACCATGGGGCAGAGGACGTGGCATCAAGGTCATTTCAACGATTTCAAAGCATTTTAGAGACATATTTTGAACAATTTAAGGCCGATGATCATCAAACTTTGTCAGTTGATATATGTTGGGTCCTCAAGGTACTTCAACTAAAAAGTAGGTCACCTTGACCTACTTTTTGAACTTTATGGGTAATCTTTTTCAAAACAATTAAGGTCATTAATTCGAATACTGAGAGGTTTAGAATCATTGAATCTTGTAAGATGATGCATCTTGGGGCCATAAAACATATTTTTTAGGTCACCTGAGTCACTCAGGTGACCTATTGCTATCTGTTTTTGTCCATCGGCTTACGTCATGCAATGTGCGTTAACATTTGAACATTAGCTTCTTCTCTGAAACCGCTTAACCAATTTCAACCAAATTTGGCATATAGCATCTATGGGTGCAGGGGAACAAAAATTGTGAATTTCATGGTCCCTGCCCAACTGGGGCCTGAGGGGTGGGGCTAAAACCACCAAAATTACTGCAATTTTTAAAAATCTTCTTCTTTACTCCTGGACATCAAGCAGTCAAACTGTTGGCATGATTGTAATAAGCATTGAGCCCATTACCAAAATTGTGAATTTCATGGCCCCAGGGTCAGGGGTTCTGGTGCTAGGGTGGGGCTATATAGATCATAGAGTGAAAGTGCATAATTTCTTTGAAAATCTTCTTCTCTGCTCCTGGGTATTAAATAAAGTAACTAAGTACATAGTTATGATGAGCAAGAGTGCCTCTTCCAAAATTGTGAATTTCAGGGTCCCAGGGTCAGGGGTTCTGGTGTTAGGGCAGGGCTCTATTGACTATATAGTGAAAATGCATTAATTCTTTGAAAATCTTCTCTGCTCCTGGGTATTAAATAAAGTAACTAAGTACATAGTTATGATGAGCAAGAGTGCCTCTTCCAAAATTGTGAATTTCATGGTCCCAGGATCAGGGGTTCTGGTGTTAGGGCAGGGCTCTATTGACTATAAAGTGAAAATGCATTAATTCTTTGAAAATCTTCTCTGCTCCTGGGTATTAAATAAAGTAACTAAGTACATAGTTATGATGAGCAAGAGTGTCTTTTCCAAAATTATGAATTTCGTGGCCCCTGGATCAGGGGTTCTGGTGTTAGGGCAGGGCTCTATTGACTATATGGTGAAATTGCATCAATTCTTTGAAAATCTACCTCTGTTCTCCTGGATATTAAATAAAGTAACTAAGTACATAGTTATGATGAGCAAGAGTGCCTCTTCCAAAATTGTGAATTTCATGGCCCCTGGATCAGGGGTTCTGGTGTTAGGTCAGGGCTCTATTGACTATATAGTGAAATTGCATTAATTCTTTGAAAATCTACCTCTGTGCTCTTGGGTATTTAATAAAGTAACTAAGTACATAGTTATGATGAGCAAGAGTGCCTCTTTCAAAATTGTGAATTTCATGGCCCCAGGATCAGGGGTTCTGGTGTTAGGATAGGGCTCTATTGATGATGTTGTAAAAATACATAAATTCTTTCAAAATCTTCTTCTCTGCTCCTGGGTATTATTCAAAAAAAGGAGGTGCATGGTTATGATAAGGAAGAGTGCCTCTTCCAAAATTGTGAATTTCATGGCTCCTGGGTCAGGGGTTCTGGTGAAGGGGGGGGGGGGGGGGGACTCTGTTGATTATATAGTGAAAATGCATAATTTCTTTCAAAATATTTTTTTTCTACTACTGGTTATAAAGCAAAGAAACAAGTGTATAGTTATGATGAGCAAGGGTGCTTCTTCAAGAATTGTGAGTTCATGGCCCCTGGGTCAGTTGTTCTGGTGTAAGTGTGGGGCTTTAATTATTTAATAATATAGTGAAAATGCATTTCTTTGAAAATCTTCCATGCTTCTGGGCATATTCGAGGCAAACAGAGTAAACGTTTTAATATGCAAAGGTATTTTTACCAGAATTTTGAACTCCCTGGACCATTTAGTCAAGTGTTCTGGTCCTGGCCAGGGCTCTATTAACTTGTATTCTGCTGAGCAAAGTTATTCCCCTTTGCTATTCACCTTTGATAATTAATTACTGTAAACAATGTATTTCAAAGGTTAATAGAATATGAGAATTATGCAAGAATATTTATCGTATAATACAAAAAGTACTTTCATAGTTTTAATGATCAGGTAGACCTGGAAATAATAGATGAATAAATATGAGACAAAAATAACTTATCTTTTTAAATGTTTTTTAAAGGTCAAGAGAGGCCAATGTGAGAAGTAATAATATGGGGTTAAAAAATAGACATTTTGTTAATAGTCTGCATGGTAATAGTGATAAATGGGGAACAGATAGATACTAGACTAATTATTTTTTTGATGCCAATCATACTATTTTTCTTGCTTTTGGGCAACAAAGCTTCATTTATCAGTTTATGGATCCTCAAAATTGTTGTATTGTACTCAGGTGACCGTTAAGGCCCTTGGGCCTCTTGTTATAAAAAGTAGGTCACAGTGACTTACTTTTTGAAGTTTGCAGGCATTTGATTTCAAAGCATTTTTGAGGCATAATTTGGACATTTTAAGGCCTATGATCATAAAACTTTGTAAGTTGATGCATCTTGGGTCCTCAAAAAACGTCTACTGAAAAGTAGGTCACCGTGACCAATGTTTATATGGCTATAAATAAATATTTCATGTACTAATTGGCTTAGAATCATCAAACTTTGTCAGTTGATGCATCTTGGGTCCTCAAAGTATGTCATCTGAAAAGTAGGTCATTGTGACCTATTTTTGAAATTTTAGGGTTATGATTTTAAAAATATTTTAGATATTAATTGGCTTAGAATCATCATATTTATTTGATGCATCTTGGGTCCTCAGAGAATGACAGGTGATAAGTAGGTCACCATGACCAACTCTCAGGTACTAATTGGCTTAGAATCATTTTTGGTTCTCAGAATGTTTCATCTAAAATGTAGGTCAAGATGACCTCCCTTTGGAATTTCAAGGGTTTATCTAAATATACAGGATACTTAGAGGCTTCAAATAGAAGTTATAGGTTATACAGTTTATCAGAAGAGCGATTCAAGGCCCTTGGGCCTCTTGTAAATTATTCAATTCCTGGCCCCTGGGAGTCAGGCAGGGCCACAATAGTGATAATATACAGAAAAAAATCTTTAAAACTCCTTAAGAACCAATCCACAATGAATCATATTAATTTAGAAGCATCCTCTGGTATTTTAGATCTATTTTTGTTCAAATCATGGCTTTTGTATGTAGGGAGGGGCCACAAAAGGTGATCAAAAATACATGTATTTTGGAAAATCTGATCCAGAACAGCAGGGCTAAAGTGACTCATGTGAGCATTGTGGCCCATGGGCCTCTTGTTTTTATTGCCATTCAGCCCCCAGGGTGAAAATAAAAATTTTCAGAATCCTTTTGCATATGGTCAAGGCACCAATAATCATATTCCAAAACATGAGTCTTTTTTATAATTAGTGTGAATTTGGGTTTTTTTTTCTTTATTTTCTTGCAGGAGGAGCCTACAATGTGGTTAAAAAAAGCAATAGTTCCCAGAACTGGGTGCTTGTGACCGAAGGTTTAGAAGTAGGAAGAACTTACATAATCACAGTTACAGCAGAAGATAACTCGAGAAAAGCTACCAGTGAAGAAATAAAAGTCATTTTTTCAAGCATCAGTGAGTAATGACTATGTAAAAGCTAATTTATGTTAATTGTTAGTTTTTAGCTCACCTGAGCTGAAAGCTCAAGTGAGTTTTTCTGATCACATTTTGTCCGTTGTCCATCTGTCTGTAAACGTTTCACATTTTTGATCTCCTCTCCAGAACCACTGGGCCAATTTCAACCAAACTTGCCACAAAGCATTCTTGGGTGAAGGGAATTCAAGTTTGTTAAAATGAAGGTCCACACCCTCTTTCAAGAGGAGATAACTAAGAATTAGTGAAAATTTGGTGGTAAATCTTCTTCTCAAGTACCACTGAACCCCAAAAGTTGAAGCTTATACAAAACCCTCCTTACATAGTGTAGATTCAAGTTTTTCAAATCATGACCCACAGAGGTAGGGTGGGGCCACAATTGGGGATCAGATTTTTACATATGAATATATAAGAAAAAACCTTAACAAAACATTTTCTCAAAAACAACAAAGCCATAATCAATCATATTGATATGGAAATATTCCCAGATAGTGTAGATTCAGGTTTGTTCAAATCATGACCCCCATAGGTAGGGTGGGGCTACAATGGGTGATCAAAGTTTTACATAGGAATACATAGGAAAAATCTTTTAAAATCTTCACACCTCTGACTTCTGGTTGGTATTTTCACACCTCTGGCTGGTCATTACATGTACTACCACTCTGGCTAATGACAGTTATAATTCTTGCAATCAAAATGTGGCCTGTATCATGAGGGGAAATTGCCTATATTTCTTACATTCTGTTCTTAGAAAAGCGTCCACTTTCCTGTTTTCAGGGGTGTCCAGTTTTATTAGAATTTATGAGTTAAGAAATGTTAAGAGTTTTACTGGAACTTATAAATTCAGTATAGGGAGAACCAGTTTTCAGGAGGGCTGGTTTGGAGAAGTTTCATTGTATAAGTAACCGGAAGGGTGAACCAAGGAGATTTAGGAAAGAATAAAATAAAGAATTTCAGTGTGTTTCAAATATACACTTTTTTCTCAATAAGTCATGGAAATTTTGAATTTACGTCATTTTCCTATGTCATATCTAACATATGATGTCATGGATGATGAAAATATTTAATGCTTTTAAGTCTGCAGATATCCCCCTGATTTAGAGCATACTGTACGTGTACATAAATTGGCGTATTCAAAATTTAGCACAATCACTGGGTATGTAGTTGTTGGCGTAATCATGAATTAGCGCTACACATGTCCGTGCTGTGTGTTGTATATATGAATTATATGAATGAATATACGACATTTTCCTGATGTCATAGCAGTATTCATAGATTAGCGCATCATTGTCTGCGCCAAAGCCGCTAAAATATGAAGCCCTCTTTTTTAAGTACACAATACAATAATTATATATTTCTCTGTCAAAGTTTGATTTTGGGGGGCAAATATTGGTCATTACCGAATATAGTCCTTTGTTTAAATCATGACCCCGGGGGGTGTAGGGTGGGGCCACAATCAGCAATCAAAGATTTACAGAGGAATTCATAGGAAAAATCTTTTAAAAAAATGTTTTTCAGCAAAGCTATGATTAGTCATATTTATATGAAAGCATCCTCAGTAGTGTAGAATCAAAGAGCTAGGTTCACTTTATGCATAAAATGGCCCTGTAGATAGACCAATTTATTCACGAACACTTTATGTCCCATTCTCAACATCATTATAAAGTAGAGACTTAGTACTTTCATTTTGTATATGAAAGTTTCCTTTAAAGCGTCCAGATACTGGAAAACAGGTGGTGTGAAATTGCAATGTTGTTGAATTTTGCAGAATACATGTGTATTTGAGAACCTTTAATATAGAATTAAAATTTGAACACACCTCTCGATCCAAAAATTAAAATTTGTTTTATAATCTTCGTAAGCAGTTCTTTGTTAATATATTTGCACATTTTGGATCGGAGGTTGTGCTGTATACGAAATATTGAAAAATAGTATCATATTTTGGCTGTTTTTGGAGAAATATTCAGGATATGTGAATAATGACGCAATTTGTGACGTCATAATGCATTGACAAGCAGGAAAATTACGTCATTATTGGTAGAAATTCAGTCACCAAAGGTTTAAGTGATATTTAATGCCTTCACGACTAAAACAATGCAGTTTCATTTTTTCAGAAATTCACAGGGCCAAAAAATGCCATCAGTGACCATTGCTCTTTGTTCAAATCATGATCCCCGGGGGTAGGGTGGAGCCACAGGTGATCAAAGTTTTACATAGGAAAAATCTTTTAAAATCTTATTTAGAACAGGAAAGCCATGATTTGTCATAATAATATAGAAGCATCCTCAGGTAATGTAGATTCAAAGGACTATATTCTGTAGTGGCCAGTATCTGCCCCCAAAATAAAACTTTGATGGAGAAATCTTTAATTATGTTCTAAACCAGGTGGATATTTGTAGACTTCAAAGCATTAAATATTTTTATCAACTATGACATCATTAGTTAGATATGACGTCAATAAAATGACGTAAATTCCAAATTGCAATGATTTTGAGAGAAAATAGTGTATTTTATGTCGGTATTTTGATTGGAAATTATCGAGCGCAAGTCTGCTCAGACTAGATCTTTTGATATAATGTGTAGAATGATAATATCAATGAAATATGTGAATATGGTACCTGAGCAAGCTTGCGCTCTATAAATACTATAGTCAAAATTGAACAAACTCTGTGCATTTTGGCCTCTTTTTTTAAAAATAACGGAAATCCAAATAGTTTGTGACGTCACAGAGACAAGAAAAGCCAACTAATTTTTCCAATTTCATAATATATTGTCTTAATTTGGATTATTTTATACAATATATACACTTTTTCTCATTTCAAGAGATTTTCAAAATTTGACTATTATGGGGGCAGGAATACGCCCATACCGTATATAGTTCTTTGTTCAAATCATGTCCCCTTTTCTTGGAGTATAGAGGGGCCATAACAGGGGGTCATAGTTATACAAAGGAATAAAAAGGATATAGCAATGAAAATTTTATTCTCAAGAACAGAAAAGCTATTATTAGTCAAATTAATTCAGAAGCATCGTCAGGTAGTGAAGATTCATGTTTGTTTAAATCTTCCCCCGTACCACTTTTACATTAAAATTTTGTGCTCTTCTGAGCCAAAGGCTCAAAGAGCTAATGCTATGGCCATTTGTGTGGTGTGCATAAACTTTATAGAATATGGGCCATAACTCAAGAACCCCTTGGCCAATTATTGTCAAATTTGTCACAGGGTATATTTGGCCCAAGGGTTCTCGTTTTTGCTAAAACTTGGTTATGACCCTTAAACAAGGGAAGATTATTAGGAAAATAGAAACAAAAGTACTGGTTGCTAAAAAATCTTCTCAAGAACCACTGGGCAGATTATCACCAAACTTACACAAAAGGATGAGGATATGTTGAAGATTAAAAATTGTTCAAGGCATCACCCTGGGGCAGAGGGCGTGGTCTCAAGGTCACTTCAAAGTTGACAAAAAATTACATTTTATTAAAATGTTGATATTTTGCTTACTATAAGGACAAGGATCATCAAATCTTGTCAGCTGATGCATCTAAGGACCTCATATCATGTTGACTCAAAAGTAGGTCATGGTGACCTACTTTTTAAATTTTGTGGCCATTCTTTTTTAAAATGCTTTAGAGGCATATTTTGAACAATTTAAGGCCTATGATCATCAGACTTTGTCAGTTGATATATCTTGGGTCCTCGGAGTACGTCAACTATAAAGTAGGTCACCTTGACCTACTTTTTAGCTCACCTGAGCCAAAGGCTCAAGTGAGCTTTTCTGATCAAAATTTGTCCGTTGTCTTTCGTTGTTGTCGTCGTTGTTGTTGTTGTAAACTTTTCACATTTTCATCTTCTTCTCAAGAACCACTGGGCCAATTTCAACCAAACTTGCCACAAAGTATCCTTGGGTAAAGGGGATTCAAGTTTGTTCAAATGAAGGGCCACGCCCTCATTCAAGGGGAGATAATTAAGAATTAGTGAAAAAATAAATGCATCATTTAAAAATCTTCTTCTCAAGAACCATAGGGCCAGGAAAGATGAAACTCAAGTGGAAGCATCTTCAGGTAGTGTACATTCAAGTTTGTTCAAATCATGACCCCGGGGGTAGGGCGGGGCCACAATGGAGGATCAAAGTTTTAGATAGAAATATATAGGAAAAACCTTTAAAAATCTTCTTCTCAAGAACAGCAAAGCCGTGATGAGTCATATTTATATGGAAGCATCCTCGGGTAGCGTAGATTCAAGTTTGTTCAAACCATGACCCCCGGGGGTAGGGCAGGACCACAATGGAGGATCAAAGTTTTACATAGAAATATATAAGAAAAATCTTTAAAAATCTCCTTCTCAAGAACAGCAATGCCACGATGAGTCATATTTATATGGAAGCATCCTCAGGTAATGTAGATTCTATTTTGTTCAAAACATGACCCCCGGGGGTAGGGCGGGGCCACAATGGAGGATCAAAGTTTTACATAGAAATGTATAGGAAAAATCTTTAAAAATCTTCTCAGGAACAACAAAGTCATGATGAGTCATATTTATATGGAAGCATCCTTAGGTAGTGTAGATTCAAGTTTGTTCAAATCATGACCCCCGGGTTAGGGCGGGGCCACAATGGAGGATCAAAGTTTTACATAGAAATGTATAGGAAAAATCTTTAAAAATCTTCTTAAGAACAGCAGATTACCCCCCGGGTAATCTTTTCAATACTGAACTGATTTGTGCTTTTGCCTAGCCAATGTGCTCAAGTGAGCGATGTGGCCCATGGGCCTCTTGTTGAATTTTATGGCTGATCTTTTTCAAAACAATTAAGGTCATTAATTTGAATACTAACAGATGTTTAGAATCATTAAATCTTGTTGGGGCCATAAAACATGTTTATTTAAAAGTAAGTCACACTGACCTACTTTTTGAACTTTGCAGGCATTCGATTTCAAAGCGTTTTAGAGTCATAATTTGGACATTTTAAGGCCTATGATCATAAAA